CACTGGGTACGAGACAGTTAACATTAACTTTAACACTCCAGCCGAACACAAGTAATCAATCTGACAGTTTGCATGAAAACAAAACAGTCCAATATCTCCAGATAAATAAACTGCAGATGAACACAATGTTATATTGCTGATGTGTCTTAAAGGAATAGTTCACCCAAAAATGAAAAAATTCTGAAAATATACTCCCCTTCAGGCCATTCAATATGTAGATGAGTTTTGTTTCTTCATCAGATTTGGTGAAATGTTGCATTACATCACTTGCTATGGATCCTCAGCAGTGAATGGGTGCCGTCAGAATGAGAGTCCAAACAGCTGATAAAAACATCACAATAATCCACACGACTCCAGTCCATCAGTTAATGACTTGAAGCGAGAAGTTGTATGTTTGTAAGAAACAAAGGCGTTTTAATTTAAAACCATTGCTTCTGGCCAAAATACGAGTCCATGATCCTTAATAACGCTTCCTCCAGTGAAACAGTCCATCTCTTGTTTTCCTCTCACATCAGAATCAACCAACATATTTGTTTAGCGCTCTGTTGGACTGCTTTCACTTTTAAACGGTGCTTGAGCTGTGCATGTTTCTCACCTGACTTACTTCTCTCTGAGACTTTTTTTTTTTACTGGAGAAGGCAATGTTATGAATAGAGGACTTGTATTTTAGCCAGAAACAACAGTTTGAAGTTAAAACACATTAATGATGGATTTGTAGCTTTTTGCTTCAGAAAATGTTAATTGATGGACTGGAGTCATGTGGATTATTGTGATGTTTTTAACCAGTTGTTTGGACATATATATATATATAGCGCATATTTGAATTGTAGAAATGCTGTAATTTCTCTAACATCAAGCGTATGTTTGCAGACATGATCTGATCAAGAAGCTTCATGCACTGAAGGACTCAAACCCTGAGCTGGCACAGCTTCTCCTCGAGCAGGTAAAGAAACCATTTCCCCCACTCTCTCATCTCAATCCTATCTCTAATTAAAAACTACATGCCATTTTTACATACCAGATATATGACAACGCCATGATCACCGCTGGCCTGAACGAAGACCCTCGTCCGATGATCTCGCGGCTGAATCAGCTCCTCACTCAAGCTCTGGAGAAGCACTGACACCTGTGCTGGAGTTCAGCCTGACGGACTTCTTTTGCCTTTATTAGAGCCATGCGTGGATGCACAAAGGGGGCGTCACGTGCATCGGAGGTCATCATCGCACACTAAACACAAACAAACGTTGTTTATATGAAGACTTGAGAATCTTTGTGCAGGTGTGACATTGTCGTTTTAGTGGGAGTCGTGTTTTAAGCTGATACGATTGAAATTTGTCTGTCCATCCAACGGCTGTCAGATTGGAGAAAAAAAAGAATTCAGCCGTTTGTGCTGCCATAGCTGCATTTCTGAATTTAATTTAGTTTAGTTTAAAAGCACATTTATACAACCAAGGCTGTACAAGCATAATAAATAGAATGATAAAAAGGGCAGACTCAGTACATTCACAATTTAAAAAAAAAAAAAGAAAAGAAAAGAAAAAAAGTTTATCTGGAAAGATGCAAGATGAATATACCAGTTACTTGAGAATGTTTGTGCAGGTGTGACATTGTCGTTTTAGTGGGAGTCTGATAAGACGATTGTCAGATTGGACAAAACAGTTCAGCAGTTTGTGCAGCGAGAACTGCACTCCTGAATTTACCTGAAAAGATGAGAGATATTGGCACAGCAAGAATCATCATCCAGTGAAACATGTTAAATATTGATATTTCTTGTAAAATGATTCACATTTCAGTCCATTGATTCTGTACTTTAACAGCTTTTCCATATGTAAATTGAAATTAGCGTCAGGAAAATATTAAATGAAACAAACATGAAGTGTCTCAAATGCTTTCCACCCATTTTAAATGTATTTCAATTACAAAACCTCTACTGAAATGGGTTAATGTTTTGATTTATTAAAAGGATCAAGCATAAATAACCATTCTTGTCTCATCAAAAATATTACAATTTCATAAACGCAAAAGAAGATCCGTCTTAGCTAAATGTGATCATTTCCAAATGGGAGTCGAGTGCGCTCAGAAATGAAGTGCGCCACGCTCTTCGCTGCAGTTGCCTCGTTCAGACAGCAGGCGGCGCAGTGACTCCAGTGAGGAGCACATACTGTGCTGGAGGTAAAACAGCCAGCTATCAGTCACGCATTTACAGTAGATCATGTGGATTCTAGTTCACCTTACTGTTACGACTAAAAACTCCTCAAATGCGGTGTAGTTCTTCGTGTTAACTCTACATTTTCATGCAGTTTAGACAAAACTGATCAAAATTACATTTTTAATTTTAGACGTTGTTTTATCATTGCCATCAATAATAGCTTTAAAAAAAAAAAAGCTTCTGCGGCATGGCATGGATTTTTTTTTTTAAACGTACAAATATTCCAGGTAATCATTAAATTAATTTGAGCTCATAAATGATGGGATTACAAAAGAATGAACGGAATGCCGTTTTAAATAACTTTAGATGGAGTTTAGGATTTCACAACTGGCCAGCTTCTTATAAACTAATTTTTGTAATTCAAAAAAAGAAAAAAAGCTTCCGTGTGCATGCAACAATTCAAAAAGGCCACATAGCCTAAAAAAAAAAAAATTACCCATAGAGTTACTATGGGTCGTTCACACTCTTGCTTTACAAACGCAAAGCAGTTTTGAACCTGTTTAGAAACGGTGTCTTAAAATGTGGCGCAACTGTGAGACCATAGCTCACGTTAACGTAGAAAAACAATAGAATACAGCGCGATCACAGCTTAAATCGTCAAATGCATCAAGCGCCATCAGTGAACCGTTCCAGCGCTTCTGCGGCATGGCATGGATTTTTTTTTTAAACGTACAAATATTCCAGGTAATCATTAAATTAATTTGAGCTCATAAATGATGGGATTACAAAAGAATGAACGGAATGCCGTTTTAAATCACTTTAGATGGAGTTTAGGATTTCACAACTGGCCAGCTTCTTATAAACTAATTTTTGTAATTCAAAAAAAGAAAAAAAGCTTCCGTGTGCATGCAACAATTCAAAAAGGCCACATAGCCTAAAAAAAAAAAAATTACCCATAGAGTTACTATGGGTCGTTCACACTCTTGCTTTACAAACGCAAAGCAGTTTTGAACCTGTTTAGAAACGGTGTCTTAAAATGTGGCGCAACTGTGAGACCATAGCTCACGTTAACGTAGAAAAACAATAGAATACAGCGCGATCACAGCTTAAATCGTCAAATGCATCAAGCGCCATCAGTGAACCGTTCCAGCATTTGTATCAAACCGTTTGTTGCGTTCCGGAACACACAGAACGAGTAGAGGTCACGTACACACTGCAAACTTGCAAGAGAGTGACAAATGCATTTAAATACAGCATTGGCATCCCCCCCCCAAGAAATACAGGGGTTACTTTAAGATAATTAAAGCAGTAATACCGAAAATGTTTGACTTCTCACAGCTGTGCGTTTTGTGTTTTTGACCAAAGTGACATTAGACATTTGTATGGAAGCCCATTCCGCTATATAAAAATGCTTTGGCAAATCATAATTTATTGAAAAAAAGTCATAATTATGAGAAACTAACTAACTAAAAAGTCACAATTGCAACATACCAATTAATACTGGATGCCAGAATTAAAAAAAAAAGCATTGACATGTCATAATTGACTAAATTTGACATTCCAATTGACATTAAAGCATAAAACTCATGTTTTTATGTTACAATGACTGGTTACTGTCCAACAATTATCAGTAAAGTTACTAATTAACAATTGGTTAAAACAGCCAGAGAGGCAAAGAGGCTGCTGCATTTAAACAGACCATTTTCTGTAGTTTCCACAAGACAAGTGAAGACATGTAGCCTACCTCAGTTTCTGTGATTTGATTCAGCACTCCTCAGACAGCTGTTAGTGGGCAGAAAAGTGACGGTCAATGCATTAACAAGCCATGTACACGATATGTGGGTTTAATGAAAAATGCAATTGTAATTCCTGTAAATCGGATTAAGCACGCAGTAGAGGAGCAACTACCATATTTCGTTTTTGAGCTGTAGTTGCTTTTGCTTGCTACTGGTTTGTTAGTCATATCTTGCTCGGGATCGCTCCTAGCAGGGTTTCTCTCACCAGTGTGCATGGAGCTACACTTGCAATAGAGCAATTGCATTTTCACTAAACATGCCAAATTTTGACATTTACTTTTTTTTTTTGGCTAAATTACTAATCATTAAGCAATACCACACTTGCAATCATTGGTCGGAATGAGATTACCTCCTGTCCAATCACAGCAGTGCTTACATTTAGAGAAGTCATGTTCATGATTAAAAAAAAAAAATGCAACTTTTATAAATTTGATCACATCCTAACCTGTAAGCTGAAACAAATGCAGTGTTGCTCAGAAATTGTGAATTGCAGAACAAGGGCTCTAAACTGCAGTGGCACCGTTCAGGCACCCGGAGGTGCAGTGAAGCCAGTGGTGAGCACACACTCCAATCTCATGCTGAAAAAAGTAAAACGGTCAGAAAGTTAAACTTCTGTGGCACATTTAATAATTGCATTTCAGATGTAATGTTCTGGTACATGCACTTCTCCCTTAGATAAAGCGAATCAGAAATGAAAAAAAAACCTAATTAGTTCTATAAATAAATCCTACACTGAACTTTTAGATCTAAAAGAAAGAACTGTGAAATGATTTTAAGGATAAGGAATCTAATCAAATATGTTTCCAGGAAACAAAAAAAATAGGTGATTACAATCTTGATGGAATCCAGAGAAACGGATCCATGCATCTCCCAATCACAGAAACAAAGAAACCCTCAATTCAATTAATTAAACTACTAGCTCTAGTCCACTACTTGTTTGAAATTGCACAGGCTTTATGTGAAAACAGTCAGGTGTTAGTTTAAAACTTATGCATATTAATTACCTAAAATCAGAATTGCGAAAACACGCAAACCAAGTCACCACAATGGTTGCATCTGTTGCACACAGTTTATTTAACAATATGGTATATAAGTACGAAACAAGTTCTTAACCAGTTTATACAGCGATCTCAATCTTTTTTCCTTTTATTTACAGTATGTCATCAAGCTGCATGATTTACATTAAAGAATCGTTCACCTTCAATTCAAGTTTCATGAGGAGAAAAACAAAAGAGGTTGACTGAAGAACTCTTTGAACAAATCAGCAGTCAGACGAAGCTCCGGCCTCATACGCGAGGTGGAGGGGACATCATTGATGTTTCAGAGATCAAACGAGGAAAAACAGGAACATCTTCCTATATCTTAAGAGACAACTACTGAATCCAGGCCAATAAATTAACGCATTTGGGCACCTTGAAAAATAAGAGCAACTTTCACAATTTGCTTGCGTGTTCGTGTGTGTTCGCATGTGTGTGTGTGTGTGCAGTAGCCAAGCTCCTTTCTGTACAAATGAATACAGGTCCTCTGTACAAACTCCACAGTTTGGAGAGAAAAAGGCGGCGCGTCCTTTTCCAAACCTGGTAAATGTGAAAACGTATCAGACAGGAATGAGGATTGCTCCTGATCCTAATTCCACACCGAGTATCTTACAGTCCCTAAACACACGCACACACACTCAAAAAAAAAAAAAAACGCATTTCAGTTTGCAAACATACAAAACGAAAATCCTCAATAATAAAATCAAATATTTTGCCTTGAGAAATTCCATTTAAAAAGTCCATATGCTCAAAATAACCCCCTCCTTGAAAAAAAACAAAACAATTAAAAATGTAACTCGTAGACCAGGACTGCATTTCGGCCGGTCCGACAACCCTCCCAGAAAAATACCCTTTGTGATTCTGCTCTTTAAACAGTAATTTCAATCCCTCCAACAGGGAAGAAAAAGTCCATTGGTTGTGTAAACCTATTACAGTTCATTTTGTCGCCTTCTCTAATTTCCTGTGTAGAAAACACACCTCTCTCCTCAAGAAGAACGTCACTTAATGCTACAATCCCTCGACGAACTTCTCTAACGTGTCTCCCGATGTGTCCCCAACCATACTCATCTCGTTGGGAAGCCCTCCACGGTTTGGCGTGTTCAGTTGCGGAAGCATTGCACTCTGTTCGGGTGTGCACAGGTGAGCCTGGTCCATGGGGCCCGGCATGGGTCCCGCCAGGCTGGGGTGGGACGCGCCGGAGTGCAGGGGCGAGGGCTGGGGCTGCATGCGCGGGGACGGGCTGGAATGTGGCGGCTGTTGGGACGGGGGGCGGGGCGATTGCACGGGTGCAGGCGACCTCACTTGGTTGCCCAGCGCATTGGCCATGGCCTGTCCGGGCAAGTGAGCTCCCTGCGGCTGTCCTGCAAGCATGTGGTGTTGGGGACTCATGGAAGCAGCCTGAGCCGGCGATCCCATTTGCTGCTTCAGCATCTGCTGCTGCTGCTGCAGCATGCGCTGTTGCAGCATGTTCTGCTGGGCGTCCATGCCCATGCCAGGCTGCCCCATCTGAGCCATGGGCGGCATCTGACCCATGGGCCCAGCGCCTCCCTGCATGGCCATCTGCTGCTGCATGCGGATTTGCGAGTAACTGGCCGCGCCTTGAGGTTGTGGGAATCTCCCTTGTCCTGGAGGCATTGCTCCCTGTTGTTGCTGTTGCTGCTGCATGCGCATTAGTTGCCGGCGGAACAGCTGCTGGTTTCCGTTGTGTGCAGCGTTCATCATCTGTCCCTGGGATCCGAGAGCGGCCATGGCTTGGGTTGCGGCCGGTTGCGGCTGCTGAGGCGGCATGACGGGTCTCTGCACGGGGCCGGTTTGCATCGCAGCCATGTTCTGCATTCCCGGCTGAGCTGCGAGCATGGCCTGCGGGTTCTGCTGCTGTGGTTGGCTTGCTTGGTACTTCGCTGTCCGCTGTTTGATAAATGCTGCCATGAGATGCGGGTTCGATTTGAGGATGTTGAGGACCTGCTGCTGCTGCTGAGGGGAACTTGGTGATTTTAATGTGCGCAGCAGGTCATGCGCATTAGTTGCCGGCGGAACAGCTGCTGGTTTCCGTTGTGTGCAGCGTTCATCATCTGTCCCTGGGATCCGAGAGCGGCCATGGCTTGGGTTGCGGCCGGTTGCGGCTGCTGAGGCGGCATGACGGGTCTCTGCACGGGGCCGGTTTGCATCGCAGCCATGTTCTGCATTCCCGGCTGAGCTGCGAGCATGGCCTGCGGGTTCTGCTGCTGTGGTTGGCTTGCTTGGTACTTCGCTGTCCGCTGTTTGATAAATGCTGCCATGAGATGCGGGTTCGATTTGAGGATGTTGAGGACCTGCTGCTGCTGCTGAGGGGAACTTGGTGATTTTAATGTGCGCAGCAGGTCCTGCAGCGCTCCTGGAGCGATGCTGCTGGCCACCACTCTTTGCTGCATGCCTTGCTGCTGCGGGGCCTGTGGTTGTGCCTGCTGGGGAGGCATGACAGCCTGCATCTGCCGCGGCTGCTGCTGTTGCTGCATCATAGCGCGCTGCATCATTTGTGCCTGTTGTGGCGTCTGCACTACCTGAGACTGCTGCGGGGCCATGGTCATCTGCTGCGGCGGCACTTGCTGCGTCGGAGGTGCCTGCGGATTCTGCATGGACCCTTGCATCCCAGCTGGCCACTGGCCAGGCTGCATGTTCTGAACCATCTGAGGACCACGAGGGGCCATCATCTGCATGGGAGCCATCATGCGAGGTTGGTTCATCTGCATGCCATTCACACTCATCCTGTAGTCTTGCTGCTGCTGCTGCTGTTGTTGTTGTTGCTGCTGCTGTTGTTGTTGCTGTTGCTGCTGCTGAACTTTGGTCATCATCTCTATTTGTTTCGCAACCTTCAAAGCCTGCTGCTGCTGCGGAGAGGGCTGCGGCTGTTGTTGAGGCGGCATGGGCAGGGGGGACTGCTGCTGGGGCAGAGGCGAGGACTGCGGGCCTGACTTACCCTGCGACCCGGGCGTAGGCGGTTGGTTGGGGAAGGGTTGCACCATTGCAGCCACATCACGAGGGGCCATCATCTGCATGGGAGTCATCATGCGAGGTTGGTTCATCTGCATGCCATTCACACTCATCCTGTAGTCTTGCTGCTGCTGCTGCTGTTGTTGTTGTTGCTGCTGCTGTTGTTGTTGCTGTTGCTGAACTTTGGTCATCATCTCTATTTGTTTCGCAACCTTCAAAGCCTGCTGCTGCTGCGGAGAGGGCTGCGGCTGCTGTTGAGGCGGCATGGGCAGGGGGGACTGCTGCTGGGGCAGAGGCGAGGACTGCGGGCCTGACTTACCCTGCGACCCGGGCGTAGGCGGTTGGTTGGGGAAGGGTTGCACCATTGCAGCCACATTTGGATGCGTCTGCTGGGGCTGGTTGGCTAATGCCTGCGAGGTCTGAGGCGTATTAGGCTGCTGCAGCTGCTGAGAGTTGGGCGTTCCCGGACCTCCTGAGGTAGTTGGGGAGGGCAGACTGGGTGGCATTCCTCTGCCCTGCATGAGCGCCATGCGCCGGCGCATCATCTGTGCCTGCTGCAGCCGCTGCTGAATCTGCTGCTGCCGCAGCTTGTGCTTGATATTGAGACAGAAGGGCACGGGGCACTTGTTTTCCTGGCAGTGCTTGGCATGGTAGCAGCACAACGCGATGAGTTGTTTGCAAACGGGGCAGCCTCCGTTGGTCTTGCGCTTGCAGCCCTTGGTGTGCTGCACCACTCTCTTCATCTTCTGACAAGATGGCAGAGAGCAGTTGGCGTTGCGGCACTGGCAGGCATGCACCAGCGACTGGATGCAGCGTTGGATGCTGAGGCGTCGACTCTCCTGTGGGCTCTTGTTGGCCTCGCCACCCTGGTTGCTGTCGTCGTCCAGGCCCAAACCCCACTTCACCATTTGGTGCTCATGGCCCTTGGAGTTGTAGCAGTTAATGCATAGATCAAAGTCCTGAAAGAAATCAGAAGAATTATTTTGTTTTTTTGGATAATCATAGCATAGAATGTTAATTTACTGCTGCATGACTGGAGATTGATGTTATATTTACAGGTGGAGATACAGTCGTCAAGGAAGGTTTGCTCCTTGAGAGGTTTAAACCTACAACCTACTAGTTTAAACCTTAGATCTTGATAAATTGGCGATAAAATAGTACCATATCTGTTTATAAAAATCAAACAATGGGAGCAAACAAAGGCAAGAGACTCAACTGCTGCACAAAGAGAAGACTGACCTCGCAAACGGTGCAATGCCAGCGTGTCTCAACGTGGTGCTTGCATTCGTTGCAAGTGTACACAAATCGGTCTTGGCCCTGATTGTGAAGCTCCACCAGCATGCACATACTGCTCCATTTGCAGCGGCGTAGGGAACTGAACTCCCAGTGTTTGTCCCTGGCTAGTGTTAGGAAGGCATCACGGCCGTCCATCAGATCGCAGGTCAGCATTGGGTCAGGATCCATTATCGGAGGCAAGGTATTGATCACTGGACCAGCATGCAGGTGGATCACGAAGAAGACCTGGATTTTAGGAAACGAGAGGGGTTCTGGTCAGCACTTGGCACATTCAGAGCAAAACAAATGGTATTCAAGTAAAAAAAAAAAATAAAAAATAATAAAAAAAGGTCAGTCAGGTCCAACCTCTTTGTGCTTCTCCATTGTTGCATATAGCTTCTGGGACAGATCATTAGCTACATTCGGCATCCCAGGCTTCTTTTTGTTTGCGCGGCTCATGCTGCTCTTATTTTTGTTGGTCTTTTTGTTGTTCTTCTTTTTGGCGTTCTTGCTGTCAGCTTGGGTTCCCTGTGGAAAAAGAAGACATTTAACAAATGGCTACAGACTACATTAAATACTCATTCACACTATTTGTCTCTCTGACTAACCTCTATTGTCTCAGAGGAGGCTGTATTCTCCTCCTTCTTCCTCTCCTCCTCCTCTTGCTGCAGCTCCTTGATGCTTTCCTCCAAAACATTGGGCCAAAAATCACCCTCAAAATAGGGCAGCTCATAGGCACTTGTAAGCCGGTCCTCTGTGGCCTGTTTAAATATGTCCTGCACAACACAAGTGAGTCATGTGTCAGTGTGACGTTAACCCATTGTGAATGAAAACTAACAGACCGTGAATCCATTAAAAACAAATTCAGCATTGGCATACCTTGTAGTCATGGATGATTCTTTCTGCAAAGGCTTTGTCCAGCATTTTGCGGTACCACTCCTGCAGTCTTTTAGGCTTGGGAATCTTCTGATCAGGAGGGTGACAATGGAAGATGTAGTCATCGCCTTCACTAGGTGGGCAAGCCCAGATATGACCAGTCACATACCTGTAGATGGGAAAAATAAAATCCATTAGTGCATAACCCTACCAATGCCATGGACTTTTTTCACATTTCCAGGTTTCTCAGCAGCGGAAGTCGTCATAGTTGGGTTAACTTCAACAGCACTGAATGGGAGAGGACCACAAATATGTGTTTTGCATTCCCATTTGCTCAAATAGAAAAAGAAAAACTCCACAATAGTGTTTTCATTACTGATAATGACAGTCAGAAGATAAAACGATGTTAAATTTACTGTCCCTCCCATAGACGCTGCATTAGAAACACCCTTGCATTAGCGTTAACTAATTGTTTGCAATTTGATGCAAAGGTGATATGATACAAAGTATAGTGTTATTAATGTACATACATTTAAAAAAAAAATAAAAAAATTTAAATATAAAAAAAACTTTTGAGGATTTGCGATGCAGATGACCATTAAACGCGTCATCACAGTCTTGGTTTTTGTTTGGGCAAATAACTTATGAATGGCTTATTTATAGTGGACTTGTCATTTTAAGCTGAGATTGAAGAAAACAAGTATTTTAAGACCAAACACAATTATACATATTATATTTCAACTTCAAGGTGGTACTTACCCTAGTTTCTTAACATACTCCAAATAACCAATGAGAATTTCATGGTAAACTGCAGTTCTTAGCAGGCGAGGTTTGAAGAAGTGAATACTGTCAAGATATGATATGTATACCCGTCTGGAAAGAGGAGTAAAATGACAATTAGTCAACATAGCCTGTTCAAGATGCAATTTGTTACTTTTTTTCCATTGATCAGTATTTGCATGGTACCTGGTGTTAGGAAAAGGACAATCAGATCCATATTCTTGGACATGCATGCCGAAGAAACACACATCCGCTCCATCGATCTCTTCAAACGCAAAAAGTGCTTTGGTTCTGTAGGGAAAGCTTTCTACCATCTCTCCCGAGTCAACAAACCTGCAGAGAAATGATGTGATGCAAAATCAGCTCCTTTCAATTCCTTGTACATGCCAGACTTTTTTGTCAACATGAATTCAAAATTTTACCAATTTACTTTTTAAATGACTTCAATAGAATTGATAGAACTATACTCGTATTCATTCTCTGTGACGTTACCTGGATTTCATCCCAGGTTTGATCTCCACGGTCTTATCAGAGCTGGCGACCACCCGTACAAACACCTCTCCGGCCTCAGGGTGATTCTGCCTCTTCAAGTACTTGTTCACTCGGTCCTCGATGTACGAGCCCAGTCTCGTGCACTGTAACCCTGATCCGAAAAACACAGAGGGTTACTTCACTCTGCAACAGACAGAGAGGCAAGCAGGAAGACACTTCGAAAGCACTCACTTTTAGCAGAAAACTTGTTTTCCTTTCTTGTTTTCCCTGACTTCTTCAGGCAGTTGTCACAGATGAAACTGTTATAGGAAGGAGAGACAAACAAAGCAGCTGTAGGATCATGTCATGCTAAACTCTTCAGGAGAATAGTGGGATAAGACGCTTACCCTGATGGCCAGATGACGTCATAATGTAGTACGCAGATTTGATGCATCTTCCGGCCACAGTCTTTACATTCAACAAAGCTGTTAGACAGAAGGTGGTGTTAAAAACTATTTTGACAAGAGTGGATAATTCGTCACACTTTCACAGTATTTGCATACATATTCATTAATATATATATACTATTCGAATAAAGATAAAAGAAATTACAAGCATTAAAATGACGAAACTTACGGCTCAGGGTCCAACATGTCATTTTTTTTCTTCTCAAACTGCTCCTTTGATATCATACTGCAGAGAGACGTACAAGATAAACTCTACCTTCATACATGCACAACTCATTTTTAAGTATAAATTGAGTAATTTAACAAAGAAAAACCTTAAAGCCTTCTGGGCGGCAGAAGATACGTACGTCTGCGGCTGGGCTGGGTCGTCTCCCAGGGTGACACTGTCGCCCTGAATCTCGTTGAAGCACTTCTCGCAGAAGTGATACCTGTCGGCAACAAGGCCATATTTGGTTTTATTCTGATTAACTGTGCAGCCCTAAAGACTACTGCCTACTAAGTTTTCAGGATTTACACAAACACTTGTGGGCTGGTGGGAGGAACAGCCTAGTAGGCGAAGATCTAGACTTGCAAACTGAGAGATTCAGAACCCACAATGATTGACCCACAAAGTATTACCACTGTAACCTAGAGCAAGACGCTTAACCTTTGAACTTGCTTTTATGACTCCGTTTATAAGGTGCAAACAACATGGAGTCAACTTGGCACTAAAAATCTCAAGCATGATCTCAGTGCATCACAGTCTCACTTGGAAAGTCATTCATCACCTTCTCATTTCTCACACCACTGATCATGCCATTGGTTACCTGTTTTGGTAGCTATAATATGTGCCGTCTCTGGAGATAGTACAGAGCTGTTTGCCATAGCAGCAAAGCGTCTGAGGTGAAAACTCGTTCTGTGGAGACAGAGAAAAAGCAATTATGTTAAGAGCAACTTATTTAACACAGACTGCACCAGTGATATTTTAGTTCTTTTTTTATTACCTACCTACTATAGTATTATAATATTTTGAATTTGCTTATATATTTATATTTCCGGTTTTCATTTCTAGTTGAAGTTTTAGTTATTATTATTATTTTTTAGCAATTCACCAAAATTAATTGCAATTAGATTTTTTTTTATAATTAAATGTATTAAAGGGGTCATATGATGCTTTTTTAAAGATCATTATTTTGTGTATTTGGTGTAACAGAATATGTTGACATGCTTTAATGTTCAAAAAACACATTATTTTTCAAATACTGTACATTATTGTAGGTCCTCTTTGCCCCGCCTCTCTCAAACACTTCGTTTTCTACAAAGTCCCTCCTTCCGACAAGCGCAGTCTGCTCTGATTGGCCAGCTGACCCAGTGCATTGTGATTGGCCGAACACCGCAAGCACTCGTCGGAAATGTAACGCCCCTTACCATAATCGCGAGCAACTCGTTCTGTGGAGACCGAGAAAAAGCAATTATGTTAAGAGCAACTTATTTAACACAGACTGCACCAGTGATATTTTAGTTCTTTTTTTATTACCTACCTACTATAGTATTATAATATTTTTAATTTGCTTATATATTTATATTTCCTGTTTTCATTTCTAGTTGAAGTTTTAGTTTTTTTTTTTTTTTTTTTTTTTTCGTATCAGTTACAAAATATTATTACTTGCCTATAAGACCCTTAAAGGGTTAGTTCACCCAAAAATGAAAATTAGCCCATAAATTACTCACCCTCAAGTCATCCTAGGTGTATATGACTTTCTTCTTTCAGACGAATCCAGTCGGAGTTATATTAAAAATTGTCTTTGATCTTTCAAGCTGTTTCATGGCACTCAACGGTCCATAAAATGCATTGCTGTTCTGTTGTAAATGATCTTAAAATTTCCTAAATACATCTACTTTCGGAAGGCCAAATAAAGTGCTTTTGCTTTCGCCTAGAAACACACAGCGTCTCCCTGACATGCTGCTTTAACACTAACTGTGGTTACTGAAACCACGCCTTCTTTCTTTGCGTGCATATTTGGGCGCATTATGCAAATATTTTCACATAGTGAGGTAGATATGTGGGGGCGTGTTAGAACGAGTCGTTTTAGGGGGGCGTGGCAGAGTCTTAACTTTGATAAAGAATATCTCTTTGGTTTTGAGACTTTAGTCTTTGCAACTTCAGGGATCTTATCTATGCACAGTCAGCTTGTAACACTCCAAAGAGAAAGGAAAACTTGAAATTGCATCATATGACGCCTTTAATAATCAAATGTATTTCATACAACACTCAAAATAAAAAATTTGTTTTTATATCAACATTTTTATATTTCCGCTTAAACTCAACCAAGGCAACATTTCTCATTTTTGTTTCAAGTATCTACATTTCTAAGTTTTTCATCCAATATTTATGTTTTATTTCAGCTTTATTTAAATAATAATTTTTTTTTAACAGTTTTACATGACGTGAACACTACCAACACTGAATTGCAATCAAAAAATATCTAGAGAAGTTTCATTTTAGAGGAGTTTGAGCTCATGTGGAGGATTCATCTAGCTAATCACTCTTTTCCTAGAGGAAGAAGCTCAAGTTCTTACCTTGCGCCCACAGCAGTATCCCAGACTTTGCATGACTGGGTCAATTTCCTGCTCGAACACCTCGGACAGCTTCGAGCAGTACTTGTACACTCGAGATGTTTTGCGGTTGTAGAGCCAGGCGTTGTTGAACATCAGCCAGATGTCGTCAACATACTGCCAGGGCTCCTGGTACTGCCCAGTGTCCAGCTTCCTCTTGATGGTGGAAAGATCGATTGGGTTCTTTACAATGTCAAAGTAGTCCTGGGAAAAGAAAAAAAACAACAACAATCAAAGCTTTTAATGATATTTTAAATTATTCATTAAATTGGCTAATATTAGACAAAATCTGCTTTTTGGGAAGATGCGGGTCTGATTTATTTAATATATTTAGAGCATTTAACGAGATATATATAAACTATTAGCCCAATAAATAGGTGTATGGGATTTACCGGGATGCCCAGGAGAGTGGGATCCACCGGCTGGCGGAAGGGCAAGGACTCTGGGTCTTGACGATACAAAGCTTCTAATGTAGGCATCAGCGCCTGTCTGAGCTCCTCCGGCTTGAAAACTGTAACAAATGATGATGTTATGTGATTAATGAAGTTGCAGATATTACTAAATGCGGTTTCAATGTTTTCAGAAAAACGTTTGTACTTTTCTTGCGTGACTGGGCGGATTGACCGGATGGTGTGGTGCTGTTGGTGCTGGACACGTCCTCCTCTTTCGGCTCTGTCTTTATCTCTGGTTTCTTCTCCTCCGTCTCCATCGGTTCTTGTTTAGGTTCTACAGACTCTGGCTGCTCTTTTACTTGAGAAGGTTTAACATCTTCATCCTAATGAACAACATGAATTATGTTTAGATGTTTACTAAAGACTGTGTCATTAGACTTTAGTCACGAGACAATGAAATATTAGGAAACTAGAGAATGAATTCTGCTCACCGAGGTTGCATGTTTTTGATCAAAAATACAATAAAAAAAACTTGAAATATTATTACAATTCAAAATAAGTTTTCTATTTGAATCTATTTTCAAACGTCATTTATTTCTGCGATGCAAAGCAGAATTTTTAGCATCATTATGTCTCATGATCCTTCAGAAATCATTCTAATATGCTGATTTGCTGCTCAAGGAAATATTTCTTATTATTATTATCAATGTTGAAAACAGATGTGCAGCTTAATTCTATTTTCAGGATTCTTTGAATAGAATCCTTAGAATTAATTGAATGACCAGAAAGTTCAAATGAACAGCACTTGTTTAAAATAGAAATCTGTTGTAACAAATGTCTTTACTGTAACTTTTGATCAATTTAATGCCTCCTTGCTGAATAAAATTTCTTACTAATATTAATATTAATTTCTTACTAATATTAATTCACTATTTTCTTACTTTTGAACAGTAGTGTAAAACACTCAAGAAACACTACCAAATATAATCAAGAATTGTTGAACCATTTTTAAGCCCCTGTTAAGTTTTAACTGTTTTTTAAGTCACACCTCCATCTTGACATTGGGTCTCTTTTTCCCAGATTCAAAGTCCTGCTCGTCTTCTTGATGCTCAGTTTTGTGTTCAGCAGCAGGGTAGTCGGGGGGCAAAGCTTGCTGGGAGTGGGTCTCGGCCACGGATGCTGGCGTAGGAACTCTATTATCAACACTAGCAGCCATCTGAGAGAGCTAATGGACAGACAAACGAGGAAGGACATGAGTTAAGGGTGTCATGGCATACAGCTGCAATCGAGGCTGTGTTTTCATGGCGATCCTCACCGGAGTGCTGGGCTGCTGCGCTTGCACAGAGGTGGGCTGCTGCATCTGCAGGGGGGGCTCAGGATGGGGCTGCAGGGGCGTGAGCGGCTGGGAGTGGGCGGGGGAGGAGCCCAGGGCTGAGGGAGGGCGGGGCAAGCCGCTGGGGATGTGGGTGGGCGTGACGTGGCCCCCGGCTGAGGCCGGCGTGGAAGGCTGGGTCTGGAGTGCGGCAGCTGACGGGGTGGAGGCAGAGGGCGGAGGAGGGGTGGAGCACAGGGTGGACGGGGTGCCCAGAGGGCCCACGGGATTCAGGGTCAGGTTAGTGTTCGGCTGCTGCTGCAGAGGAGAAATGCAGGGCATACCAACTCAGATACAGCACAACAAACTACAACAGAGTACAACAGTCAGGTTCCGGATTGGAAAAACTCCATTCATTTTCTCCATAGGGAAATTGATTATTAATTTATAAACCTTTAAAGACATCTACTGTGAGCTCCGAGGTTGTTAATCGATGATATATGCTTTTGTTGAACCCATCAGACCCTATTATTTCAACTTATTTTTTAAAGAATTATGTTTCATAGTGGGAAGCCCGTTGAAAAACTACATTAACCATAATTCTGCAAAGAAAATTCCACCAATAAGAAAGGTGTGGCGAGCAAACTGCGCCAAAATGGGAACGCCAACTCCCATGAAGCACCGCTAATGACGCAATCAAATCGGTCTTCCTATGCTCTTAAATTTTTATTTTTTTATATATTTGTATATAATTATGCACATTTTGAACTTAAAATATATTGAACCACTTTAAATAAATATTTTTTATATTGCTCCATTTTTATTTTGGGATTGCAGTTCTTTCCCTCTTTAAAGTCGACAAGTACCCAGTCTTGTACCTTTGTTTCTCTGTTTGAATTTGCAAATTCTTTTTACTTCAAATAAACGTAATGTAAATAATATTGCGATTCTCCTCCTCAGCTGATTGGTTTAGTTCATGGCTTATAACTTTTTTTTTTAAATCTCTATGAAAAAATGAATGGAAAAACACCTCTGGAACCAATGCTGCTGAAAAAGGGGGCAGGCACTAATGCACACTATGACAGGAAGACAAGAAGTGTTTGTGGAGGTGAAACGTCTCTTATGAACACACAAGTAACACCACAAACAATGAAACCGTACTAAAGGTGTGAAAATTCTGACTCCTCACCTGTGGGACAGTCTGTCCCGACTGCTGAGCCAGGTTTACATTCACATTCATGCCCCCGGCTGAGGCAGGGAACGGCGTCTGGTTCATGAACTGGTTCTGGTTGGGCGTCTGGCCCACCATGTTGCTAGCATGGCCTCCCATCATTGTTGGTGCCTGCGGCAACCTGGAGGGAGACATACTCATCTGCAAAAGAATAAAGAGAAATTAGAATTGAGCCACAAAAGTATGTTTTTGCCCTAAAAAACTATTTTGACAACATGAATGATAACGCTATTGACAAGTTTACTTTCTAGTGAAACAAGCTTGTTTTCGTGAATACAAATCCAAAAAGGCGCACACCTCAAGAACAATGTTGACTATAATTACACTTAAAATGAACGGAGAAAACATTTCAATCCAACTAAAAATACACTTTTTTTTAAATATAAAGTTCCAAAAACTCCAAAACTGGAATCAGTCTGGAATCACTTCTTGCTGCTCACCACTGGAACGGTACCCATGCCCATCTGAGGGGGGTGGGCCATAGGGGACGCAGCCCGAGGAGCTCCCACCGGTGACTGGGACATCTGCATGGTCACGGGGTTGAACTGGCCCATCCCTGAAGAGCATGATACAAACACATTAAAAGAAGGTAAAGAGCTTTTCTATTCAACGGGAGATTGAAGCTTTTGAGTAATTCCTGCGCTACCAGTATGACCTGCCCGACTGCTTTTATCCTACTCAAGTCAACTTGAAATGGCATTCACAACTGATTTCACTTCTGTAATATGACATTTTACAGTGCAAATCATTTTCATTTTTGCCATAAATGGTTCAATTAAGGTTGCCCTCAAATGCGTTTACTTCTGACAATTTCAGAAAGGCTGCTGTTTTCAGAGATGAAGTTATTACATTCTGCCTAACATTTATGCCAAAAAGGAATCACAGACGATATAGAAGAATGTACACAACTGTTCTAGTCAGTGAGATTTTGGGAAAGACACTGAAGACTGGAGTAATGATTCTGAAAATTCACCTTTGCATCACAGAAATAAAAGACATTAAAACAGAAACAGTTATTTTAAATTGTAATATTTTACAATATTACTGTTTTTACTGTAGTTTTAATCAAATAAATGGAGACTTTTTGAGCATTAGATACTTCTTTTCAAAAACGTAACTACCTCAAACTTTTGAACAGTAGTGTATATACACTGCCCGTCCAAAAAAAAAGTCACCACCTGGATTTAACTAAGCAAATGGGTCCCATTGGATAATTACTGCATGGATGATTATGTTTCAGCTGGCAACAAGTTATTTAAACCTAACTGATGCAATGAGTAGCTTCTCATTTCTTAAACAACCATGTCGGAAGACATCCTGTATTCGTGGAAAAGATGTTAATCTGTTTCAGAAGGGTCAAATTATTGGCATGCATCAAGCAAAGAAAACATCTAAGGAGATTGCTGAAACTACTAAAATTGGGTTAAGAACTGTCCAACGCATTATTAAAAACTGGAAGGATAGTGGGGAACCATCATCTTCGAGGAAGAAATGTGGTCGGAAAAAAATCTTGAATGATCGTGATCACTTGAACGTTTGCTGAAATCAACAAAACTGAAAACAGTAGAACTCACGGCTATGTTTAATTGTGAAAGTAAGAGCATTTCCACACGCACAATGTGAAGGGAACTCAAGAGATTGGGACTAAACAGCTGTGTAGCCTTAAGAAAACCACTTATCAGTGAGGCTAATTGGAAAAAAAGGCTTCAGTTTGCTAGGGAGTATAAAGATTGAACTCTGGAGCAATGGAAGAAGGTCAAGTGGTCTGATGAGTCCAGATTTACCCTGTTCCAGAGTGATGGGCGCATCAGGGTAAGAAGAGAGGCAGATGAAGTGATGCACCCATCATGCCTAGAGCCTACCGTACAAGCCTGTGGGGGCAGTGCTATGATCTGGGTTTGATGCAGTTGGTCAGGTCTAGGTTCAGCAACGTTATGTGCCCAAATAATGAGGTCAGCTGACTACCTGAATATACTGAATGACCAGGTTATTCCATCAATGGATTTTGTCTTCCCTGATGGCACGGGCATATTCCAAGATGACAATGCCAGGATTCGTCGGGCTCAAATTGTGAAAGAGTGGTTCAGGGAGCATGAGACATCATTTTCACACATGGATTGGCCACCACAGAGTCCAGAACTTAACCCCATTGAGAATCTTTGGGATGTGCTGGAGAAGACTTTGTGCAGCAGTCCGACTCGCCCATCATCAATACAAGATCTTGGTGAAAAATTAATGCAACTCTGGATGGGAATAAATGTTGTGACATTGCAGAAGCTTATCAAAACGATGCCACGGCGAATGTGTGCCGTAACCAAAGCTAAAGGCGGTCCAATTAAATATTAGAGTGTGTTTTTGTTTTTTTTGGACAGGCAGTGTATGTATACAGAATGAAAAACCATACCTTGAGGGACCTGCATCCGGGCCATCAACTGATTTGGCACATTGGACATAGGAACAGGTCCATCTGAGGAAATAAGGCATATTTTAAACAGCTAATCAAGAAAGCAGCCAGGCTAAATCTAACAACCAGAAGATCAAAGCATTACAAAAACAAAGCCACTAACTCGGAGGCCGGATGGCTTGTCCAGGTCCTATAGTGTTGGGCTGGGGAAGGCCAGGCTGCTGAGGACCCGGAGCGCCCATTTGGGGCTTCGACAGCCTGGACTTTCTCTTCTCCTCCAGCTCCTTCTGGATCTTATAGATCTTCTCAGCCAGAAAGTGGTAATACTCATCCTGGACACGAGATGTTAAGAGATATAAAAACATGAGCCACCTGGTGCCTTCTTACAGTCACAAAACACCATCCTGAAAGAAGGGTAAGACGTAGGAAGAAAGTTTGTGTGCTTTACCCTGCTGTTGGCAGACTCGTACATGTCCCCTTCCACCTTACGCGCATAAGCGACCAAGTTCTCCATGCGTCTGTCCTTCAGTGCTGCAGGGTCTGGGGTCGGGAATATGGCTTGAACTCTGTAGGGAAATACAGGGTTAAGAGAACTGCCCTTGACAAATCATGAATTTGAAACATGATGACTTCAACTCACAGCTTGTGCACTAGGTGATTCCTCAAGTCCTGAGTGACGTGCTCGTGCCAGGGCTTCTTCATGCCAGGCATTGACAGCGGCGCAGCTGTGGGCAGGTTCCCCGTGCCGCCCAAGTTCAACCCGTCTGGCATCATCTGACTGTGGGAGCAGGATTACAACATTAGTTTTCAAGTTTTGCCTTGCCAAAAACTTAAATTCTTCAAGCAAAAATCAAAGAACGTACTGGTGTGACGACATTTCGCTCAAAATCAGGCCAAAAACAAAAATCATTTTGAGTTTGTTTCAATGTTAGTTTTAAAAATATTTTTCCATTTTATCATCTCAGATTTTCACATTCAACCGTTTATTGCTACAGAATTGCTGTAAAATCATTCTACAATGACATTGTTTGCACTCTTACATTGCTGGACTCTACAGATGAACATTTCCTGCTTTGCAATATGTGTGAGAGGTTAAAGGTGAGGGGTGAAAGTGAAGAGACTCACTTGTTGAGTGATAAGGGGAGAGAGGAATCAGTGTGAAGGTTCGTCTGATCGGCCATACCATTACCGCCGATGTTCATCTGGTTAGTGCCTGAAGATGTTGTGGGAAACCAGACAGGGGTTACACACGGATACACAATATGAGGAGCAGCATGATGTTTCAATGCATACTGACAGCAGATGCAATTAAATCTATCGTTTATAGACCATGATGCACTTGATGCCAATTTTGATCTTTATCCATGCATTTAGCAAATCTAATTACGCAATAAAGATTCTGATGCACTTGTGCATGTTTAAAGATATTTGATAAATTGCATTTAGTAGATATAATTATGCAATAGAATGTGTGTATGTTTAATAAATGGCTCACAGTAATCAATACGATGCAAGATGAAGTTACAGAATGATAGCAGCTTTCAAGGCTAATAATGAAAAATACACAAATATTCAGCTCTTCCTCAAAAAAACACTTTTTCGATTTCCTTGCGAATTGAAGTTGCTACCTAGTGCAGGCATGGAGCGCATCTGCTGCTGCTGGGTCTGCGTGGGCTGCTGTCCTGCGACCTGTGTCTGCGCAGCTGGCTGGTTCCCGTACGGGAGGCCGAGTGCGGCGTACGCCCGCTGCATAGAGCTGGGGTCTATGTGCGTGCCGCTGCTGATGGCGGGCGTAGTGGGTTGACTCGTGCCTACAGGGCCCAGCGGAGCCTGCATGCCAGTGTTAGGAGAGCTCAGCATCGCTGCAAATAGAAGAAACAATGTTTGTTGAATCAAATCAAACTACTTTTATTCATGTATTCTGAAGGTTTTTGCAGAGGGATTTTGTTATACATAATTCCCCTGATTTACATATTTTATTCCTAAAAACATGGTAAAATTTTATTTTTATCTGACTGTTGATAAAGAGAGATATCCAAAATCCCCTCTGCTTCAACTTTCATTTGTCCACTAAATAAAAGAACTTTGAACCTGGCTTTATCCATTGTTTAGATTTCTGTTCTGGAAGTATATGCAAAATTAGTGCATAAATAATTAGAAATTTAAACATAACATTTAAGAAAGTATGCAGTACTAAAAAAAAGTCTACAAATCTTAATGTAATCAATCAACTGGGGAAGATTGATCTGGAAACAGAAGTGACTGAAGTGGAATAGCCATTTTACAAACACAGAGCACTTCGAGCTGCGGCAGAGAACAGAACTGCAAGAGACACTGAGAGAGCGTGCTTCTGTTGCCACTACAAGGGGATTTAAACAAGTCAGTGATCGGCTGTCCAATCAGAGAGCGGGAGCTCTGTGTGTCCCACCCCTGTGAAAAACCAGGGGTGGAGCCCCTCCCCCGCAGTGTCAGATTACAGTCCCGCTGCCTGCCGGAATCCGCTGCTGGTCTCATGCTTTCACATTCAGAGCGCAGCCGAGCTGCACACACGACCTACAGGTGGCAGCACTCATCTGAAAGCACCCCGTATCTCAAAGCAAGAGATGCAAACACACAATCAGTAGAGGAACAAACCTGAGTTCATAGATTTAAAACATTCATTTAGACATTTTTATACATTTAAAATAGTCAATTTTGTGTATCGGGGCAGGAAGGACGAATTTCATTTTCACTTTTTTTTTTTTTTTTTTGCATTGATCAAATTGCAAAAAATCTCAATAGCCCTAATAAGAGACTAAATATTTATGCAAAATATTTAGTTATTTGTGAGATTCAGCCATTAACTGTACTAATTCAATCACATGATAGTGCTGGGAACTTTTTTGTTTGTTTGTTTCATACGCAGTGTTACCATGAAGTAGCATGAAGTATAACCTTGATCTATGAAAATATGATCAAAATCCAGCTTGGAAAGTAAGCTCATGCACATACCTGCAAACTCACAAGAGGTCAAAAAGGTGACAGTTCAGAATATGACCCTTGTAGGGGGGTCTGGGGTCTAGGGGTCTAGGGCCCCCCCCAGAAGAAAATGTTTGAGAATTTAACATGTAAATGAATCGTTCTGGTGCACTGACAACAAAATAAAGTAAAAAGACAACATATGCTTCAAGTAATAAAAAAAAAGCTAATTTATACCACAAACTTTTTGTACAGTGCAACTCTGTTGTCATCAGTGTTCATACTTCTCTTTGTGAGCAGTGGAGTAATTTATTTTTGCTAATTTTAATGTTCACAGAGTGCGCATACTATCAACAAACTCCATCTTTTCACTGCAGAGGAAACAGAAGCTGCATCTGAAGTGGCATTAGATGTATTACACAGACTGTTTAATGAAGCTGAGGTGCCATAAATGGATTTAAACCACAAAATTTCAAATACATAAATAATTTTATACGATTCATGTTTTAAATATTTTTGAACATACAAGTTAAAAATGTTGGGAAAAATGCAATACTTTTAAATATGAAACCAAACCACCAGTAGATGATGGTAAATGACTGTTTTAATGAGCGAGTCATTAGTCATTCATTCATACGCTGATTCATTCAAAAACGAGGCAAGTGACTAATGTCTTTATGAATGGGTTACTGAATCATTGACTCACTTGATTCGTTCAAAAACGTGGATTCATTCAGTATCGAAACACCGCTGTGTTGCTCGGAGACACAAAACAGTTCTGCTGTGGCTTTGATTGAAACTTTGTCAGCGAACTTGAGCAAAAACAGTCAATATTGTATTACAAATTGTGAACTTTGTGTCCGTTTAATTTACAATGAAGAACTTCCATGCCGACAACATGTTTATATGCGGATGTGAGCGTAAGTGTGAGGTAAAAACGGACCAGCTGTGAGATGAGGTGTGTTCGATTTGAAGCAGCAGCGCGCAGACTGATCGGACCGCAAAGTACCGCGAGAGCGATTCGAAAGCATGCGCAGTCGTCTGCTCCCTATAGCTCTCGCGGTGCTTTGATGTCATACAGCGATCGGTCTGCACATCGCTGCTTCAAGTCGAACCGAGAAAAGGACTTTGGTCGAACATACTCTTGTCTTGCAATTTCACTCTTCGAGCTTGCAATTTCTCTCTATATATCGATTTTTTTTTTATAAGCAATTCGATATGAGGCAATACAGTTTATATTGATATACAGTGATTTGATACGAGCACATTTGAAAATATAGTGGAGGACACAGATTGAGCTGCTGTGGAGAAAGTGCATATTCCAATTTGTTCTAAGCATGTGACAAGCTTCATATTAAGGCCTTTAAAAACTGGTAAGACATGGTATAGTTTATAGTTTCGCACATTATTTTAAGCGGCTCGGCCCGTCAGATGCTCGGACAGAAAGGCTGCGTGTGCCACTGACAGAGACACTAGGCTACTCGTGCTGTTTAATATGTTTGAGATGTGCTGTCTTCTTGAATGCATAACTTACATTTCACAGGTACATTCTTCATCTGTAAATGTTAGGAAGTCATGGAAATATTTAAATGTTTCTGTCAGGAGTGCATGAGCCTTCTGCTTTGGGATTATCCGCTAAACTTCACAAACTTCAGTGAACGAGCGCCGCCACGCACATGCGCGCCAAACAGACAGAGCTCAATTAAATAGGAGTGCAATAATTGACTAAAATGTACATTCGCTGAAATATTTGTAGTTGGACAATAAATGTGACACGTAGAATTTTAAACCTACAAGTAAGTCTAATTTTATGATAGCACTGACTCTAAAGTGACAGTAATGGGGCAGGGCTCGCAAAATTTCAAAATCGCTGGTAGCCCTTTGGGCAGATATTCTTCAGATTTTGGTAGCCCAAAATGAATTTAAGTAGTCCGAATAAAAGAATTTATTAAAAAAAAGACATCGGCTGAACTTCACTGCAGACAAATCAGCATGATTAAAAACTTCAGTGATCTCTTTTTTCTTCAAATAACAAGTCAAGAGAGTAGGGGTGCAACGGATCACAAAACCCACGGCTCGGATCATATTGCATTATCATATCATAATTTGAGTAACAGATCAGGTCCTTTTGCAGACGAGCAAAAAAAAATATGGTTCTTTATTATTTAAATAATACTTCTTTGATACCACAGCAAAAACTAGTAACATATTGGGAAGTAACGATTCACTCAACTCACTATGCACGATACTGATTTCACAATACAATTTTCTCACAATTTTTCTTTTTAACAAAATGAGATTTAAAGGAACACTCCACTATTTTTGAAAATAGGCTCATTTTCCAACTCCCCTAGAGTTAAACAGTTGAGTTTTACCGTTTTCGAATCCATTCAGCCGATCTCCGGGTCTGGCGGTAGCACTTTTAGCTGCAGCTTAGCATAGATCATTGAATCTGATTAGACCGTTACCATCTTGCTCAAGAATGACCAAAGAGTTTTTATATTTTTCCTATTTAAAACTTGACTCTTCTGTAGTTGCATCGTTTATTAAGACCAACGTAATATCATTGCACCTGCTGCACCCATGGTACGGCAGCAAAGTTCCTTGATTATTACGCCGGAATGAGAGTATAGTTCCTAGCCATATCGGCCTAGAAAATCGCAACTTTTCATTTTCCGTTGGTCTTAGTACACGATGTAACTACAGAAGAGTTAAGTTTTAAATAGGAAAAATATAGAAACTCTTCGGTCATTCTTGTGCGAGATGCTAATGGTCTAATCAGATTTAATGATCTATGCTAAGCTACAGCTAAAAGTGCTACCGCCAGACCCGGAGATCGGCTGAATGGATTCGAAAATGTCTGATCTTTATTTTGGTGTATTGCATATTCAAATATTCATACAGCAAAATATACTGGAGGCCATCAAATTTGAGCGAAAATCATCAAAATCGCTGGCGGTGGCTGGCAACTTTTTTCAAAAATGCTGGCGGGGAAAGAGTTAAGACTGAATGCACGGATCCAATATAATAGCCCCGTTTCCACTGCAGAAACTTCACCCAGGAACTAGGGACTTTGGGCCGGTTTCCACCGCAGGAACCAGGATCTAAATAAAGTTCCGGGTAAATATTTGCCCCTCAGAAAGTTCCTGCTCGCGAGGTAGTACTTTTTTAAAGGTCCGGAACTTTAGAGGGCGGGACTTGGGCGCTGAACATGCTGATTGGTTGAGTTCACGCAGCATTGTATTTCAACCACCATTTATTCAGATAATTTTCTAAATATTACTGTTATTGTGTCATGAAATGTAGTTTTAAAAGTATTTCAGGCGAGAAATTCTCGCCTGAAAAAACTCAAATCTACGGTTTATTTATAAAGACCGCCTATTTGAAAATGTGCTTTGCCGATTTCGGAGACGTGAGCTCCACGTGATCAGCAGGCGCTCAGTGCTCATGTTTCCCGACGAGAGCAGCCTAAACTTGGCTAGTCCTTCTGACATTTGCCGCTGGCTCTGATGTCTCTGTAGTGGTTAAACATAAGATATAGTTAGTTTTGGGTAAATCTAACAGGTAATCTTTGGTCTTTATTCTATTAATATGTTAAAATTAAAATAAAATGAGGCAATACTGTTTGATATAATATTTTGTTTCTTTGTAATGCATGTATGTTCCCTGAACTACATTTCTGCGGCTATTAATATGTTTAAATGAAACCGAAAAGAGGCAGTGGTGTTTGATATCATATTTCATCTTATTGTAAATACAGTGAGGAAAATTGCAGTAGCCAAGGTGAGCTGACTGACGTTATCAAGTACGCTGCTCTTTGCAGAATTACCGGACTTGTGTCGTCCCGTCCGCGGGAGTTCACACTCCCGAGTCGAACTTGCGAAGTCCAAAATACAGAGGATGAAAGTCCGAAATTTGCGGACTTTGTATTGAGAAATGCGCGCAGACCTACGTCACCAGACAATTTGCCTAATCTTCTCGGTACTTTAGACCGCGATGGAAACGGAGACCGCAACAGGTCTGGGGAATAAAGCTCCTGGGACAAATTGTTCCAGGTAATTTTGGTGGAAAAGCGGCTATAGATGCACTTGAGATTTCTTTCTCCACTGTTTACGTTCACTTAAGACATTACTGACTGTGTTTACGAGAATACTTGCCAAGACAGTTATTTTGAGATAATTTTGTGTGTATGCGTTCATTCAGATGCAAGGATACGTGAAAGAGGAATCAATTCTGTGTACGCGCATTGTCTGAAACACGGCTCTCTGTGCACGCTGTGAATGAGTGCGCGCAGCTCCGAATGCGCGTGAATGGTTTAAAACACCTGAATGTTTAAATCGGCAAGACTTCGATAGTTGATCGTTGTATATCAATATACAGCATTAAATTAAGATAAACAAGGTTATACACCAGAAACAAACTATCTATAATGCTTACAAGAATAGGCTACATCCTAAAATATAATTAGAAGTACAATTAGCATCAAGCTACACTTGTGTATTTATTAATGTATCTGCTTACCCACTTTAAACCATGATCGAGTGCTTGTAATAACTTTCAATTGTGATCTATATTTGATTTTGATTAATAAGCAGACACATGCACTCTTTGTATGTTTAATAATGCTACACTGCTAATACTTGTCAAACATCCTTTATTGCTATAAAAATACCATGAGCTGCATACAAAACACATACAGAAAATATATCGTCAATCATATGTCTATTTACTTTCATATTTCATGTGTAGAAAAAGAGTGAACGCACTGACTCATAACACTCGCGCACGTGGAAGAAAACGGACAGTGCTCTACAGTTATCAGATAATTCAGTGGACAATTAATAGAAATGTTATTCTGTATAAAGAACATGTGAATAAATTTGTTCTCAAATACCAACGATAACAAGAACTCAGCATCCACTCTCTTCTCTTGTCCGGGATACACTTTACACTTTACACTGGTTTTCGAAACCGCGCCACCACTCCTGCCTTTTTGTACAACAGCAGCTGCTCCGGTCACGTGATCCTAGCTCAAATCTTATTGGACGGCCCGTGTTTTCACTTTGCGAAACTGAAAAGATTCGTCATACTGGTTCGGAAAAAAAAATCGTATTTTCGGTGCGTGAATGTTCGCGGTCTATGTGGACACATCCATAGAAATCTATTGTTTTATTCCAGAACGTCATCGCGTCCCGATATTCGTTTTGCTTTTTCACGCTCTGTGTGGAAAGGCCGTTACCCCTACAAGCTAGTGCACAACCCAAATCAAACATTTTGGTAGCCCGACTGGAAAACACAATAGCCCTGGGATGTCAGGCTAGCGATTTTGCGAGCCCTGTGGGGTAATCAAAATAGCCTTAGACAACTCTGTGCTTTTGTTCTCATTTATTCTCATTTTTAGTTTAGTGAATTTAACTTTCGCTTTAAAAACCTTATTTTTGTTTTTAGATTGCAATGTTAGAACGAAATGTGATTTGAACCCTTTTTTGCACAAAGGCTTACATGGTTACATTCACTTTATTTGTTTTCATAGCCTGTAATATGTATTGTTTTGTTGGACAACATTGGGCGGTAAGTGAAATATATATATATATATATATATATAAAATAGATTTTTTAAAAATACAAATACAAAAACAAAAATACAAAGATATATACCGTATATCGCAAATCGCCCAAAAAATAGAGATATTATTTTTTTGCCCATATCGCCTAGCCCTAGTTTGCAGGTATGCATGCAGAGAATGTATCGGTGTAGGTGGTTTATTTTAAATGAGAGTACGACTTACGCTGCTGGTTTCTCTTGTCACTGGCATTTTTCAGGGGCAGACAGACGGGGCAGTCGTGCCGGGTGCAGTTCTTCCAGTGCGAGATGATCTGTCTAGAGGAGGCGCAGTGAGCCACTGTGGAAATGGAGAAAATCATAAAAAAAATTACAATACTGAGCAATCATGCACTTAAAAGAATTAGAAAAACCTGATGAATAAAAACCTGAATAAAAAGTATGAACAATGATCATCTATACAGTTGCTGGGGACGTTACAGGGTGGTTGATTACTGGGGAAATGGGGAATTTTTCTTCAAAAACTTGGAATCTTGAAATCGCTTTTGGACAATTATGACATTAGAATAGAATGACATGTTTAGGTAGCAACGTTGTTTTGAAACGCCACCCATGTCTATGGTAACATCCTAAACTAAAATTATGGAAAGAACTATGAATTGAACAACTTCACACTTCAACTCATACAGGTTTTTGATCAAAAATTTTATAAAATTATAAACATTACATTTCAGCTGAACAAAAAAAATTAAGTATGTTATATGTAATTGGTCTGAAGAAAAAAAAACGGTAGGTGGGCTGAATGAAAATGCAAATTCACACTCTGAATCTAGGTGGCACTTATGGAAAATCAAAAAGACAGCGGTTACCCCATACACAAAGTTGTGCTGAGCTGCCTAATACCATCAAAACGTTTCTAAAGACAGACAGTACTCTTCAGATGTCCATTCACATAAAAACAACTCAGATTTGCACCCATCACACGAATAGCTTATTTCAACATCTTAACAGTGAATTTCAAAAAGAAAGGCAACAAGTTTGCAGGTAGATAAATGTTTTCTATGTTACTGGGCCGTCATTAAGTTTGTATTAACCGTTTTATCTACTAACAATCAAAATTCTAAGTAAATTATTTACATTATATTTGCAATAAAAAAAATCATATTAGTTTAAACAAATTGACAAGAGCTGTGCAAGACAACACAGATATACAGAAATAGAACTAATTTGTGTCAAACTGAATTGAATTGAATTTCCAATGTAGCGAGGTTGATTATAATGGAAGCAATGTAGTTTTGCGACAACTTGGTTATTTAAACAGTTTTTCTATCTCGGTTTCTGCTGTGGAAATGTGCAAAATGGGTCCAGAATGGGTGCTGAAAAATGGCTTATGATATTAAGGTCCCTCCTGCAGTGTAAGCCAAGTATTCAAGAGTGATATAAATAATCATGCTCCTCTTAATAAGCACAACTAATAAATCAGACATAACACTCTTGACGAGCAAGACTTCTTGACATTTGTTTTTCACACCGTAATAAAACACTCCGCCCGAACGAAATCATGTCAAGGAATAAAAGGTGTTTCGACGTTCCAGAATCCTTCATACATAGACAGTGAAACCACAAGAGCCACGATTGACTTCCCAAGTTTACATGAAGCCTGAGTGCCCGGCCAGACAGTTTAACACTGAGATGTAAAGTCATCACCGAAATATGGTTGTGGACAAAGAAAGACGGAGGAATACACAAGCACTTTCAGATTGACTCCGAGATGACACATGACAGACCATGATTTCTATAAAATTCAGAGCTTGGGGTAAAGTGCCGGAGTCCAGGTATACATTAACATAACTGGTCTCATTTTGCCTCTCACCTTGGCAGGACTTCCCCGCCTGGCAGTGGGTCATGTGGTTGAGGACGTTCTTCATGGTGCGGCAGTGGGGCAGGGCGCAGGCGCGGACCTCGCCATTGGCCTGCTCTCGCCGCTGGCACTTGTGGGCATGAAGCAGCAGGACCAGCTGCTGCTGGATCAGTTTGCGCTTCTCCGGGTCGGCCGTGGGGCCCGCCGACACCCCCTGTCCCGGGACCATGCCCACCGAGGGCACCTGCTGCTGCAGCTGGAGGGAAGAGTTTCGATTAGACAGAAGCTTCATTTCGGTTGTTATTATATAAAGAAACAAATCTTTCTAAATATTCTCAGTTGGTCAGATAAAGCCTCAAGCCACGAGAGGCTGTGAAGTTGTGATTTTATTCGCTGAGGTGTTAAGCATCCATTTTACGCCTTAATCAAAACAATGTGTTCTATCCTCTTGGCTTCAACAACACAGAATTGTTTTAACAGTTCTTATTTGTAAACCGTCCAGCCACAACTCAGTAATACTGTGAAATATTATTGCAATTTAAAATACCTGTTTTTAATTTGAACATTTTAAAATGTAATTCATTTCTGTGATGCAAAGCTGAATTTACAACATCATTACACCAGTCTTCAGTGTCACATAATCCTTCAGAAATCAATTAACGTATTTATGCACCCTTTAATTAATGTAAAAAAAATTCTTACTGACCTCAAACTATTCAGTAAAAAAAAAGAAAATAAAGCAAATTAAAATAAATATACTTTGTTGACCTAATTACCCAATGCCGGAGCAGTTTAGATTAATTTTCAGATATGACTGTTCAAACACAATTTTAAGCCGCTTTTCCACCAAAATAACCTGGAACAATTTGTCCCAGGAGCTTTATTCCCCAGACCGGTTGCTGTCTCCATTTCCATTGCAGTCTAAAGTACCGAGAAGATTAGGCAAATTGTCTGGTGACGTAGGTCTGCACGCGTTTCTCAATACAAAGTACGCAAATTTCAGACTTGCATCCTCGGTACTGTATTTACAATAAGATGAAATATGATAGCAAACACCACTGCCTCTTTTCGGTTTCATTTAAACACATTAATAGCCGCAGAAATGTAGTTCAGGGAACGTACATGCATTACAATGAAACGTAATATTATATCAAAGAGTACTGCCTCATTTCATTTTCATTTTAACATATTAATAGAATAAAGACCAAAGATTACCTGTTAAACTATATCTTATGTTTAACCACTACAGAGACATCAGAGCCAGCGGCAAATGTCAGAAGGCCTAGCCGAGTTGAGGCTGCTTTCGTCGGGAAACATGAGCACTGAGCGCCCGCTGATCGCGTGGAGCTCACGTCTCCGAAATCGGCGAAGCACATTTTCAAATAGGCGCTGTCTTTATAAATAAACCGTAGATTTGAGTTTTAAACAACTACATTTCTCGCCTGAAATACTTTAAAAACTATATTATGACACAATAACAGTAATATTTGGAAAATTATCTGAATAAATGGTGGTTGAAATACAATGCTGCGTGAACTCAACCAATCAGCATGTTCAGCGCCCAAGTCCCGCCCTCGAAAGTTCCGGACCTTTGAAAAAGTACTACCTCGCGAGCAGGGACTTTGAGGGGCAAATATTTACCCGGAACTTTATTTAGATCCTGGTTCCTGCGGTGGAAACACACCGAGTACCGGCCCAAAGTCCCTAGTTCCTGGGTAAAGTTCCTGCAGTGGAAACGGGGCTTTAGACTTCATTTAGCCAGATTATCCACTCTTTGCATCATATTCTGTCACGTGTAAACACGCACTTCAATTAGCTCCTCGAAAGAATAAATAGCTGCTGAATAGATGTGTGACGCAGAGACAAGAGAGGCCTGAAGTGTTCTGGACTGAACCGGAGCCAGCTGTGGAGGGTTACTCACCAGATTTGGCACGCTGGAAGCACCCTTCAGGGTGGGCTGGAGGCTGTTGGGAAGAGCTGCCTTGTTCTGGATCTGAGCGTTTAACCCAGCGCCGGACATCTGCTGGACCGAACCCTGTGCGTACTGCTGCCCGAACGGGCCGTTAGCGGTTGCAAGACCCATCTATGGAGGATAACATTTTTTTAAAAAGACCATCAGCATCTGTGAACCTCACCGAATGTTCATGAAACAGTGGCTCAAAAGGGCTGACAGTGTAGCGTTTCAATTTAAATTAATGGAGAGCAGGCAAGGCGTTACACAGGCACAAGGTCCTGGTCTCTGCCAGTGTAGCGTAGACACTGTCGAGTCAAACATTCATAGGTCAAAGAGTGTACTAAAAGATACTGTCATCAGCTGCTCAGTGACATCCGTCCGCTCACGTACGAGCAGTAGAGACCGACTTGCCTTTAGGGGAGAGCTTGAGAATGAGAAAAACAGTGTCTGCTCTTCATAAAAACACCAAACCAAAGATGCACTGATGATACAATAATTAAACTTTTAGATAATATACACTACCGTTCAGAAGTTTGGGGTTGGTAAGATTTTTAAATAGATTTTCCTCTTATGCTCACCAAGGCTGGATTTATTTGATCAAAAAGTAAACAGTAATATTGTGAAATAATTTAACAATGTAAAGCAACTGTTTTCTATTTGAATATATTTTAAAATGTAAAGGCAAAGCTAGATTTACTCAAGAAACATTTCTCATTATTAACAATGTTAAAAACAGGATTTAGGATTCTTGGTTGAATAGAAAGTAAAAAAAAAAAATAACTGCATTAATTTGAAAGGCATTTTCTTAACAAAAATATTTACTGTCACTTTTGATCAGTTTAATTTGCCCTTGCTGAATAAAAGTTTTAATTTCTATAAAAAAAATTAGCTGACCCCAAGCTTTTGAACAGTAGTGTAATATTTTGCATCAGCAGTGTAATTTTTTTATGCTAAAATAATACCCGTTTAATGCTCAAGTTACTTCAAAATATCTCTCTGATGTCATCCACATTTAATTTGCCCTTGCTGAATAAAAGTTTTAATTTCTATAAAAAAAATTAGCTGACCCCAAGCTTTTGAACAGTAGTGTAATATTTTGCATCAGCAGTGTAATTTTTTATGCTAAAATAATACCCGTTTAATGCTCAAGTTACTTCAAAATATCTCTCTGATGTCATCCACCAATAGAAATAAAATGGAGCAGGTTCATTAGAGGATTAACGATTATGAATTGTGGAGCATTGAAAGAAAAAAAAAAGCCTTTTCATTTACCTTTTTTCTTTAAAGAAACACACAAGGATTAATTGTTTGCAATATGATCTATAATTTGCATTTATAAAAAAACATGAATTTTCACACCAACTTTAATCTATCATTTACTGCTACTAAACGAAGTGCATGTACATGAATAACTGCATTAAACCTGAGTTACTTAGAGCACTTTTCAGTGATGCTTTCACAGTATGGTTCTGCAGCGGAGCGGCAGATCAGAGCTCCTCCAGTGGTGTGTGTAAACCGGCCCATCCCCCACCATCACTAATGTGAGCCTGCAGCCATTAGCGCTGCACGCACCGCTGCTGAACGTGCCACACTGAGGAACTCCCTGTCCTGAGCAATATACATCTCCGCTGCCTGTCGCTCTCCCACTTTCACTCTAACACTCTGTCCATGCAAGCAATAAAACTTCTCTTCCACATTAAACTGACTTTTCTAACAAACTCAGGGCTCAACAATAAGGACTGCCCGATGGCCCGGGGCCAGCGTGAAAGACGTTCGGGACAGTAGACAGATTTGTCACTTGCCCGATCGGGCCACTGCAGCGTTGTCACGACATTTTATCATTTGCAAGTGTTTTTAAGACTTGTTAAAGGGGTCATATGATGCTGCTAAAAAGAATATTATTTTGTGTATTTGGTGTAATGAAATGGGTCTATGCGGTTTATAGTAAAAAAAATAAAATAAACCCATTATTTTCCACATACTGTACATTATTGTTTCTCCTCTATAGTAAAAAAAATAAAATAAAACCATTATTTTCCACATACTGTACATTATTGTTTCTCCTCTATGCCCCGCCTTTTTGAAACGCGTTGACTTTTACAAAGCTCATCAGTTTCATCGGTGTGCTGTGATTGGCCAGCTATCCAGTGCATTGTGATTGGCCGAATACCTCAAGCGTGAGACGGAAATGTTACGCCCCTCACCACCATACTGTTGATGCCGTGTCCGGCCAGAGCGACGAGACAAAAACATTAAAACCCATTACAAACGAGGCATTTGTTGCATCCAGTGGGGACATAATTACTGATTATAATGACTTACTGTCTTTTTACGCGTTGCGTTGCATCGCGCCGCGTAAACATAAAACCCTGTCTGCATTTGTGATCGGAGAAATGACAAACAACAAGTGCTACTCTACACTGCCCAAAACTCGCGTTTGAAGCCGCGGCTTAGCGTGCGCTGAGACCGGGATAGAGTGAGCAGAGGCGGCGGGGTTGAGAACGGCGCAGCCGGCGGATTCGACGAAGGAGCGGCAACCACATGAGATGATGTTGTTTAAACTGAATCCAAGCCGTTCACACAGAACATATGCCTATTTATCACATTTTCTATAGGGATATTTATCACTGTTGCACTCGTGTCTCGCACAAGAGAGTGGCATGTTTAGAAAGCCATGTAAAATTAATGTAAGTTCAACTTTTAAAAAACATCAAGACTTGGCGGTTTTTCCCCATCCCACTGCATCTCATGTTTTTAAAGGAAGAAAGTACTCTTTTTGATTGATTTTCAGTCCTTTGTATTAAACCATACATACATGCATGATGCTGATTTGTTTCTAAATGTTGAAGCAATTTTATTAATTATATATGGTTTATAAACATTATTTTAAACATTATGCACTTTTTCAAAGATAGTCGTGTTATTTTATTGCTTTGAAGTGAATGTGCGTAAGTAATATTTTCCTCGATGCGCCCTCTTGTAACCTCAGGAGAGGAGCAAAAAGCTTTTTTCCCCTAACTGAAATAATGCCATTTAAATTTGAATATAATTCGAATATTGATAATTTAAGCACAAAATTCTAATTTAGTTTTTCAGCCATTTTGACAGCCCTATAGCACACACCTAAAATTCGAATGCAAAGAAAGTACTCTTTTTGATTGATTTTCGGTCCTTTGTATTAAACCATACATACATGCATGATGCTGATTTGTTTCTAAATGTTTAAGCAATTTTATTAATTATATATGGTTTATAAACATTATTTTAAACATTATGCACTTTTTCAAAGATAGTCGTGTTATTTTATTGCTTTGAAGTGAATGTGCGTAAGTAATATTTTCCTCGATGCGCCCTCTTGTAACCTCAGGAGAGGAGCAAAAAGCTTTTTTCCCCTAACTGAAATAATGCCATTTAAATTTGAATATAATTCGAATATTGATAATTTAAGCACAAAATTCTAATTTAGTTTTTCAGCCATTTTGACAGCCCTATAGCACACACCTAAAATTCGAATGCAACGTTTTTTGCATTCCCTACAATATCGACAACAGGTAATGGACCTTTTTGTCAATAAAAGTTAACTGAAAATATTTACATTAATGTAACTGCACCTGAAATTGACTAAATAATTTATACATTAGTGTTGGACGATATGCTCAATTTTCATATCGTCTGCCTGTGAGATCGCCGATACGTGATATTATCGTGTCAATTTATTTAATTATTTATTTACTTAGTTCTGTTGCTGGAAAGTGATCAAACTCCAGCGTAAGGCTAAAAACAGCCTAGGGATGCACGATATTATCGGACCAATATCGGAATTGGCCGGTAACGGCTTTAAAATGTAAATATCGGCATCAGACCGATATGAAAAATTATGCCTATATGTCTTGCCGATAAGAGGAATACATTAACTCACATGTGCTCAGGGTGTGCAAGTGATTAGATCGTGTCAGCATTGTGGCTCATTCTTGAAGCAAAGTTTTGCCTGAATGACCAGATTCATGGTTTTGGATCGCTGCATTTAAACTGAGAATGCAAGTACAGAATGACGCGTTTAGTGTGTGATATAGTCGACAGTAATAACACATGCAGCAGCAGCAGCAGCCTCCCCTGGGTCCTAATGCCCATTCGGTAAGGAGTTTTTATTTCGTAGGGGGTGCTGTTGGCCTACTTCTAATAAAATGAAAACAAAATACACAAATAATATTTAGACTGTTTCTGATTAAATAAAGCAGTAGTTGATGCCATAAAATCATGAGTATGTTTTGATTTAAAGGTCAGAAGCTATAGCTTACATGAACAAAAAAAAAATCACAAACATGACACTTAAATTAAATTTTATATATACTGATTTATTCATTAATGTGTAATATGTTATATTTTTGAACAAATTATGAGCTCTAAAAGTTTCAGAATTTTTACAACTCTTCTGTTTTAGACCATTAAAAAAATTTTAATCTTAAAATAAACTGTTAAGGTTACCACTGCATCTTTCTGAAAAAAAAATAAAAAAAATGCAGCGATTGAATATCATTTATTTATACTTATTTTCAAATCTTCAATGTACAGTCATTATAAAATAACTTCATTATTGTTTATTTTAGGGATGCTCCGATCAGGATTTTTGCAGCCAATACGGAGTACCAATTTCTTGTCATAGTGATCGGCCGATACCAAAAATTCAAAATTTATATAGACCGTTTCATCTGGCGCACGCGCCTGGCCCGGAGTTAACTTCCGGTCTGTGTTTGTTTATCAGTCTGGCTAGGGTGTGCAAGTGATTAGATCGTGTCAGCATTGTGGCTCATTCTTGAAGCAAAGTTTTGCCTGAATGACCAGATTCATGGTTTTGGATCGCTGCATTTAAACTGAGAATGCAAGTACAGAATGACGCGTTTAGTGTGTGATATAGTCGACAGTAATAACACATGCAGCAGCAGCAGCAGCCTCCCCTGGGTCCTAATGCCCATTCGGTAAGGAGTTTTTATTTCGTAGGGGGTGCTGTTGGCCTACTTCTAATAAAATGAAAACAAAATACACAAATAATATTTAGACTGTTTCTGATTAAATAAAGCAGTAGTTGATGCCATAAAATCATGAGTATGTTTTGATTTAAAGGTCAGAAG